AAGAAAAATGGAAGAAAAATGAAAGAAAAATGAAAGAAAAATGAAAGAAAAATGAAAGAAAAATGAAAGAAAAATGAAAGAAAAATGAAAGAAAAATGAAAGAAAAATGAAAGAAAAAGCAATGAAAAAAGAAAAAAGGAAGCTAAAAGAAAGAAAAATGCAACAAAATATAAAGATAAAAATAAAGAAAAGAAAGAAAAACTAAAGAAAAAAGGAAGAATGTCCCCAGGTGGCCTCCACAATCCCCCAGAGCTGCTCCAAGACACAAAATCCTGGCTGCTCACCCCAAAAGTTACCTGGTCCCAACCACAGCCTGGCATGAGGAATCTGCTTCATGCTCCAAAGGGAAGAGCCTGGGACAGGAAACCAAAATCTCCCAAACTTTGTGAAAATCACCTTTTTTTCCTGTTGATGTCTCCCAGGTCAGCAGCAGCAGGATCCAGACTGAATTTGTGGCATGAAAAAGTTAAAATTTCACTTACACTTCATTTTTTTTAGGATTTAAGGTCAGCTAAAACAAGGGAAGGGCCTAAGATTTCAGTCCATCCCCCAAAAAATTGGGTTTTTCAGGAATATTTCAATTAAAATCACCCCTGGAGAGCCTATAGGGGTTGTGGAGACATTATCTGTTCCATCCTTTGGGATTTCAGGAGGGATCCATCCATTTCCAGGCAGGAATTCCACTCTGAGGAGCCCCAGGATCGTTTGTGACCCCCAAATCCACCCAAAACCATGGAAATCATTTAATTTACCCCAGAGCTGAGCTGCAAGAGTTAAAATGAAATGAAATTATTTAATATCTTTTATTTTAAAGCATCCTGGGAAGATGGTGAGGCTGGGCTGGGGAAGTGGCCAGGTTGGAGCCTCTGGAATGAGCTGATCCTGAAATTTCCCCTCCAATTCCAGCCTGGAATTGTCTGAAGTGATTCCTGCAGCTCCACCGTGCTCATCATCTTTAATTGCTGCAAAAACAGCATTTGAAATGATATAAATTCAAGTTTTATCTCCAATTCCAGCACCAGCAGCTGCAGCTGCCTGGATTTAGGTGGGGAAAAAATGATCCAGAAGAAAAAAAGTGACTCCAATTACAAAGGAATATCTCAGCTCCAATTAAGGGCCTGCTAATTTTTCTCCTAAATAACCTTTAATTAGCAGGACATTTAACTTTCAATAAAAAAAAACCCAGACATTTGGAAAAACAAAGAGTTTGGTGTTAAAAAACAGCAAAAAAAAAAAAAGAATAAAAATTAAAAGAGGAGCTGGAATTTCCAGTCTCACCTCCCAAGGGTTTTTTATTCTCTGGCAGCCAACTGGGATTAAAAACTGTTCTGGGAGTGGGAAAAATCTGATAAATGTTGGAAATACAACACCCAAGTGCAAGGAGGAGATTTCTGTGATGGCAGCAGAGCAAAGCTGATTGTTATCTGTGAAAACCCAGGGAAAAAAAACCACCTGAAATCAATTTAAATAAATTAAACAAATCAAAGTCTGTGAAAAATCCAGGGAAAAAAAAAAGCACCTGAAATGATTTAAATGAATTAAAGAGATCAACAGCATTGCAGAGCTAAGGAGAGAGGAAATATTGATATTCAGGAGCCCAAAATTCCTCAATTTTCACCTCAAAACAATCTCCCCCATTCAGGTGCTGCCAGGTCAAGCCTTGTCCAGAAAAGTTTTGACAGCAGCTCTTGGGAAAGGTCAGAGCTGTTGTTTGGGGTTGTTTCAAGGTAAGTTTACACCTTTATTTTTAAAGAGATAAAGGGAGAGAATTGTTCCTGTTTTCCTGTTAAAAACATCTTTACCCAGCAGCAATCCCAAACCACGCAGCACAAACTATTGGAGATAATGAAACTCAATTAAAGGTGATTATTTACAATTAATGAGCTGCAATAAATGCATCAAGAGGCAGAGGAAAAAGAGATTATTTTTTTTTTTTTTACTGCAAGAACTTTATTGCACCACATTCAAGTGCTGAGACAGGAGTTGTGCCTGTGGGACACGGGGGGCACAGTGACACCCCCCAGCTGATGGGGACACCGTGAAAATCCACATTTTTCCACTGTTTCCCCCTCATATTAAGGCTGGATACGATAATTAGGACATTATAAATCAAGAGGGGGATTTAGGGGAGCAGGGGGAAGAATGCCAAGTTATACATGGAGCATTTAAAATTTGGTTTATTGTTCTTCAAGGAGGAATTGGGGTTTTCAGCCAGTTTAGCACCTTCCCCTCCAACCTGAATTTGTCAAATTGGTTTAAAATTTGATACCTTTGGCTAAAAAAAATCAGTTTTTCTTTGCAGAAAGATCGGGTTTTATTTGCTCAGCAGGCTCTGAGCGTGGGAGGGGAAGGCAAAGGTGAATTGGGGGATTTTCAGCATCACCAGCCCCTCCCGTGGGGCAGCAATCACCCCACAAACACTTCCAGGTCTCCTTGATCCATGGAAAAACTCGGGAATATTCCAGAGGGAGGAGGGAATTCAGCACAAGCGCACACAGCTGGAGGCAGGGACACGCCCGAGGGGCTTCTTGACAAGTACCAACATTTTCTAGTTAAATTAGATTATAAAATCTCCCCCAAGGCTTGGGATTCCTAAAATTCCTTCCCTGTGTTCTCTAAAGGCTCCTGCATGGGTTCCAAACCCTTCCAAGGCTGGATAATGTGGAAAAAAATAATGGATATCATGGAAAAATATCCAGGAGAAGGTGCACAACGTCACCCCTCTGGCAGGGCACTACAAAAGTGTTTGGTAGAAGCAGCCTGGCCAAAATTGCTCCTAAAAATCTCTTGATTTGTTCACTGGCAGCCCCAGAAAATCCAAGTTTTTTGGGTTTGCTGATGAAGGGTGCCTGGATTTTGGGGTGGGATTAAAGATTCTCCATCCCAAAAAGCCAAATAAAAAAGAAGAAGGCAATCAGAGGTTTAGCAGAGAAAATTCTCTCTCATACCAAGTGAGGCCCTCCCCCAAAATCCCAATTTCTTGTGCTCAGAAAGGCAGGGAAAGGGGACAGCAGAAAAAAAAATAAAAAATAAAAAATAAAAAATAAAAAATAAAAAAAATAAAGCCTTTTCCAGCTTTGTGACAGAGAAATTAATTTTAAATCCTTGTCTGAATCGCCCCTTGCTCACTCAGGACACGTTGGAGTATCGGTCTTGTGTGCCAGGATGGATTTTCTGTCTAAAATTAACATTTCAGCCAAACTCTTTGGGAAAAATCAGACTGACACACACAGAGAATCACTCACACTCCCAAAAACACATTCACCAGAGGGTTCCAGCAGTGAGGTTCCTGTCCAAGCCCCCCAGGAGTCAGAATTCCATGGAAAACATCCCCCAATCCCTGGGATGTGCCCAAAAAGGGGTTTAGGGATGTCAGGCTGCTCCCAGCCAGCTCCTCCTCGTGCCCCTGCCAGGTTAAAAATTCCCTTTTTTTTTTTTAAAGATTTAAAAAAGGAATTCACATCCCTGCCTGGGGGTGCTTCCCTCACCTCCAGAAAATCCTTTCTGCACAAGGCAATGCTCTGCTCCTTTTCCTTAGACATAAAGTTGACTTTATTTCTTTTCTTAAAAAGTTAAAAATACAGAAGGTTTCAGAAACTGCTTTTCTCCTTGCAGCTTTAAGGAGAAAACAATCCTTCACTGAAATGTTTCTCTTAATTGGGTTTTATTATTATTATTATTATATATTTTTTAATTTGGGGGGTTTTTTTCTCTCTCAATCATCATCACCCTTTTATTTAATATTTTTTTTTTAAGGACAGAGGTTGAGGAACGCTGACTCCACCACTAATTTGATGACTTATTTTTTTTTTTTTCTTTTTTTTTTTTTTCCATTCCAGATTCACATTTCCAGGTGCCAAGAGTCCATAGAAGAGCCCCCTGCTCACTTCTGCCTTCCTTTTGAGATAACTTTTTGTTTTGTGTGTGTTTATTTATTGAACACAGCAGTGACCGTTGGCGTCTTTGAAGCGTAATCGCATCTTGGGCCGGTATTTCTCCAGATAAAGCAGCTGTTTGGAATTGAAAGCTCCCCTCCTTTTCCTAAAAAAAGACACAAGGAAGGTGGATATCAGTGGCAAAAGCACCCTTTTGCTCGCTTCAGGCAGATTAATTGGTGTTTTAATGAGTTTTTAAGCGCTAAAAAGCAGAATTTTGGCGGGAATTCGTGTCCCACGGGAGGATAAAGCACAATATTTCAGGGAAATATCCCAAATATTGGGTTTTTTATTTTGTGGAGTGGGAGATATCAAGGTCACCAAAAGACAAAGAGATAAAAATGGCCCAAATAAAAAAAAAAAAAAAAAAGGAATTTCAAAAAAAGGCAGGAAAATCTGTTTTTTCCAGCAATCCAAGGATAACTGGAAACCCTGGGAAGCTACAAAAAGCTGGAATTGCTTCGTGGCAAAGCTCCCTCCACACAAATCTCACCTGCTGAGCTTCATTTCCAGGGGAGTTGTCACTGGATTTATTATTCCCGAGATTTTGCTCCCCAAAATTCCCCTGGGAGTGCTGAGCTCCTCCATTTGTTGGCTCAGCCTCAGCAGAATTTAATTTTTATTAATTTAAAGTAATTTTTATAGTTGGATCCTTGACATTTTTACCTCACAAAAATCAAAATATTTAAGGTTTTTCTTAACACTTAACCCCAGATTTTTTAGGAGTGATCACCTGTTAATCCTCATTAATTAACAGCAATTTTTATAGTCCAGGCCTAGACATTTTTACCTCACAAAAATCAAAATATTTGAGGTTTTACTTTACATTTTAAGCCAGATTTTTAAGGAGATCACCTCATAATCCTCATTAATTAGCACAGTTTTCAAAGCACCATCCTTGACATTTTTACCTCACAAAAATCAAAATATTTGAGGTTTTTCTTAACACATAACCCCAGATTTTTTAGGAGAGATCACCTGTTAATCCTCATTAGTTAGCAGCAACTTTTACCTCACAAAAATCAAAATTTTTGAGGCTTTGCTTTACATTTAAACCCAGATTTTGGATAGAGAAATCGCTTATTAATCCTCATTAATTATCAGCAATTTTTATAGTCCCGGCCTAGACATTTTTACCTCACAAAAATCGAAATATTTGAGGTTTTTCTTAACATATAACCCCAGATTTTTCAGGAGTGATCACCTGTTAATCCTCATTAATTAGCACAATTTTTACAGCCCCATCCTTGACACTTTTACCTCACAAAAATCAAAATATTGAGGCTTTGCTTTACATTTAAACCCAGATTTTGAATAGAGAAATCGCTTATTAATTCTCATTAATTAGCACAACTTTTACAGCTCCATCCTTGACACTTTTACCTCACAAAAATCAAAATATTGAGGCTTTGCTTTACATTTAAACCCAGATTTTGAATAGAGAAATCGCTTATTAATTCTCATTAATTAGCACAACTTTTACAGCTCCATCCTTGACACTTTTACCTCACAAAAATCAAAATATTGAGGCTTTGCTTTACATTTAAACCCAGATTTTGAATAGAGAAATCGCTTATTAATTCTCATTAATTAGCACAACTTTTACAGCTCCATCCTTGACACTTTTACCTCACAAAAATCAAAATATTGAGGCTTTGCTTTACATTTAAACCCAGATTTTGAATAGAGAAATCGCTTATTAATTCTCATTAATTAGCACAACTTTTACAGCTCCATCCTTGACACTTTTACCTCACAAAATTCAAAATATTTGAGCTTTTTCTTCTCATTTATACCCAGATTTAAAGAGAGATCACCTGTTAATCCTTATTAATGACGAGCCATAATTACAGTCCTGGCCCAGACCTTTTCACCTCACAAAAATCAGAATTTTTGAGCCTTTTCTTCACATTTAAACCCAGATTTTAATGAGATATTATTTAATTTAGGATAAAACTCTTAGAAAAACCACCAAATCTCTTCCTTAAGAGGCTCAGGCCGGTCAAAAACCAGGGGAATTAAAGTTAAAAAGTTAAAAAATAAGTTAATTTTTACTTACTGCCTTATAAACTGAACTGCATCCTCATACTTCATTCCACATTCAATGAGAGCGAGTGCAACCAGAACGGGAGCCCTGCAGGAAAAAATCAATATTTAAGGAAGATCCACAGAAATAATAAATTGAACCCTTCAAAATTCATCAAATTCCTCTTGCAAACAAGCAGCTTGAAGGGTTTTTTTCTTTCCCTACGGAAAGGTGTTCTGCTTGATGTAAAATGACTTTTTTGTGAGGGATTCCGCTTCCAAAGGAAATAAAAATCAATAGCAGCTCTTTAGTGGTTGGGGTATGATAATAATTCTGGATTTTTATGGGGTTTTTTTATCTCACTTTAACCTAATTTTCTGGTTTTTAACACCTCTTGAACGCTCTTGAGTGTGGATTGAGCTGTGCAGACACAGAGCTATGGCTTTATAGATATTTATATATTTTTCTTTAAGTAATTCTGTAAAGGAACAGGGATAAGGAGAATTTTCTGCTTTGGGATCTTCATTTTGGAAGTGAGTTAAGGGTAAAAAAATGGGGTTTTAACAAGCAGGAATCCCAGAATACATTCATTTTTCTCCACCCCACAGGCATCTCTAAGGGTGTAAAGAAGGATTAAAGAGGTGCCAGGAATTGGACAATCCCTGTGGATAAAATAAGAAAATTCAGGAGGAATAACTCCCACCATCACCCTGCACCTGCATAAATACAATTATTGACTCTCCAAGAGTGAATTTGAAACTCCAAAGGTCACTGGGATAATATGGAATAAAATATAGAATAAAATAATATAGAATATTTTCTTTTAGAATATTTTCTTTTAGAAAATATTCTAAAAGAAAAATATAGAATAATTCTATATTTTTTTTTTTTCCAATATAGAATAATTTCTTTTCTAGAGAACCACCCAAGCCACACGTGGGGAAGTCCTGAAGATGTTCCTTGGATAAAAATAGAGCCCAAATGGAAAAACAAATGAAAATGGCTCCTGTGCCAGGAAATATTGGCCATTTCTCCCTCTGGCTCCTCATCTCCTCCTCTCTCTTCTTCCAGAGGTGGAAATTTAACAATTGATGCATCCACACTCTTTAATCTTTGTTTTCCTTAAATATTAACATCCCATGGCAACTGGAACAACATTAACATCTAAATTCCATTTTTTTCCAAGCCCACAAGATAATCACAACATCCAGGGATTCCATTTGGGAATCGCAGCATTTTTTTTATTTTTCCAAAGCTGGAAGTTGTGAGGAAGAAGCTCCAGGCTCACTTCTCCAAACTGGAGCCACTTGAGAGGAAGAAAAGTAATTAAAGCAGTGCTCCTAAATGGCCTTTTTTTTTCATTTCCACAAATAGTTTAATCAGTGGAAAAACAAAAGGAAATATATAAAAAAAACCCTACAATAAAAATGTATTATATTAGTGTGAAGTAGCACAGAAAGGTTTATTGTTTTAGCACAAAAAATGCTTTTAAATTAATGAATTCGTAGTATTTTTAAATTGATCAATTCACAACACCTTTAAATTAGTGATTTCACAGCACTTTTAAATTAATGAATCCACAATACTTTTAAATTAATGAATTAATGACTGACTCAAGTGTCCTGAGCCATTTCTCCAAGGTTTTTGATCAATTATGAAATTACTCAATATTTTTAAGCTGCACTGCTTATATTGTTATATTTTATTATATTGTTATATTTTATTGTATTTATTATTAATTTATTGTTATATATTTATTTTTATTCTTTTATTTTTATTAGTTTATTTATATATATTTTATTTATTTTTATTTTATTGTTATATATGCTATATTTTATTTTTTTATTATTTTTATTAGTTTATTTATATATATTTTATTTTTTATTTTTATTTTATTGTTATATATGTGCTATATTTTATTTTATTTTTTTTTTAATTTGACACAAATTTGAGGTTGCTGGTTTAAATGATTTGGGAGAAAACAGAGAAACTGGGGTTTGTTCAACACCTTCCTGACAAATGAAATGAAATTTCAATGCAGTTTAAAGGCAGGGGAGCAGGGCACTGACCTTCCCAGTCCTGCCACACAGTGAACAGCCACGCAGCATCCAGGCTCCTCCCGAAATTTGGTTTTCAAAAGGTTCAGCCAGTCCTCCACGATCTGACTGGGGGGTGGTGCTCCATCATCAAACGGCCAGTCCTGGGGGGGAAAAAATTCCATGAAATCCACAACCTCCAGCAGCGAGAGAAAAACGCTGGGATTTAGTAAAAAAATAAAAAAGGTATAATAAACACAGTTCTGGGTTTTTTTTTTTTCTTTCTCTGGTGGCACAGGAGTTTGCAGGTCGATATAATGCAACATTAAATGTTTAACAACCATTTAATTGCACTTTGCAGTGAAGCCCCATGTGAACTCCTCTGCAATAAAGGGTTTTTTAGAAAAATCCCTGCCCTTGAAATCCCATTTTATTAAAAAAAGATGTGAAAATCAATAGGTATTTTCAAATAAACACAGGAGAGAGAAGAACTCTGCAGAGTTCTGCTGGTGGCTGTGGCATCCTTTTAAAATCCTATTTGTGATTCAGGCTCTGAGGAGATGAAGCTGTTCCCAAAAATTCCAAATTCCAACGGAGCAGCTCTTCCTATTATTACAATATAATTATAATATATTGATATTATTATTTGATATTATATATATATTATATATAGTATATATATACTTATTATTACTATCCTTATATATAATATAATACAATACAATATAATATAAATCAATTTAATGGTGATGCCCCTTCAACAGCAAAATACGTGACTTTTTGCCATTATTTGAGCACCTTGCTGCTGGGTTTTGTTTTTATTTTCAAATTAGAAACACCCAGGTGATTGGTAACTCCCTGAATTCCTATTATTACTATCCTTATTGCTTATTATTATAATATAATATATATATATATACTAGATATATATTTCTTGATAATAAATATATTATAATATATTATCATAATAGCCCAGAATTCAGGGAGTTACCAATCACCTGGGTGTTTCTAATTTGAAAATAAAAACAAAAACCAGCAGAAAGGTGCTCAAATAATGGCAAAAAGTTACGTATTTTGCTGTTGAAGGGGCATCACCATTAAATCCAGGCCACATTTAATATCAATAATCAAAAATGCCAAGGAAGCAGCTTCCCATATTTCATTTTTCCTGAGGACACACAACTCTCCTGGAATTTGTGCTCCACGTCTTTCCTTTCAGGCCCAAGCACAACATCTCACAATTTATAATTTTCTTGGACGTGGGGAGTGCTGGAGAAAGGATGTAAAGGGGAAAAAAATAGTATTCTGTAGAGTTATTTAGCAATTTTCTTTAGATGATTGTGATGTATTTTAGCAGCAAAACTCACGGCAGAGTCCTGCATTATTCCACAAACTCTGAAAATGGAAAGAAATTGCTTTAAAAAGAGCCCTCTCCCCTCATCAGGCACAAAAAGCACTTTAAGAACAGGTTCTGATGAAGTAATATCCTCTGAAACCCCAAAGCAGCACACAGGAACAGCTGAAAACCACCAGAGTTCTCATTTTGAGATGCACTTCAACACTTCCTGAAGAGCAAACACAGCTCAGAAATGTTCTGCAAGGTGGGAGCTGAGCCTGAGACCAATAAAACCTCAAAACACTGAAATAATTTTATATGGGATTAATTCACCCAGCCTGAAGAGTGCAGAGAAGTCCTTTGTAAAAGTGCTTGGAAAATGAAAAATATCTGGGACAGCACAGTGAAGGAAAAGGCCACAGGATCACGAATCAAAATTTGTTCTTTGTAATAAAAGGTTTTTATGGGATTTTCCACTCAATCCCACTGGGTTATTTTAGATCTGTGGCACCCCCTGTCCCAGGAAGAGAGGTACAGACTGCAGGATGTTGCTTTTAAAAGAGGATTTCTGTGTTTAATTGAAATTAAAGCTTTTCCTTCATATTCACACAACTCCTGGGCTGGCCTGAATCAATCTCAGCTGATCCCAGAGCATCTCAGCACTAACAGAACACAGGAACAAGATTAATGCTGGAAAGGCAGCAAAGTTTTGAAGGATTTTTTTTTTTTTCCTTATTCTGAATTCTGCCACGTCTGGATTGCTGTTGGACAGGACACAAAAGCAAATTCTGCACAATGAAAATAGTGATTAATAACCAGGATTGTACAAAGGGGGAGAGGCAGGAAAGGAAAGGGATTTATCCTCTTTTCCCTTTTTTTGGAATGGCAACGAGCAGGTGGTGAAGAAGTGACAGAACTTTGAGGTGATAAAGAACTTTTTCTCCAAAAATACTGAAATTAGGAACTCCCAAAGCTGCCTGGATCTGTGCAGGGTGAGCCCACAGCTTCCACTTCCACCCTGAAATCCCACAGCAAGGAATTCCCACCTTCCTGTGGCATTCTCCATGCTCTTGGGGGGCACACAGGGTAAAAAAATCTGATCCAATAAATCAAGGAGTGAGAGAAGGAGAACAAGAAAATATCCCTTGGATCCTGAAGATGAACAAAGCCACCACAGCTCCTCAGGCTGCCGAAAAGCACAAAAAATCCTCTCAGGAATAAAAGCCCTCCTGGTTTTCCTGACGTCACATTTGTGTTCTGAGCCCTGAACTGGAATTAAATACATCTCCAGCTCCCGAATCCCACCCCTGCTGACAAACACGTGCAGGGAATAGTATTCCAGCACCTAGGGAACAGCTCATTCCTTATTTTCTCACTCTGGAAAATAAAAAAAGCTCTGGAGCTGCCATGACCCATGACCAGGTTTGCCAAAACACTCCCATTTTCAGGGGTTTCACCACATTTTTGACCTCAGCAGTGCTAAAATAGACATTACATATTGCTAAAAGAGGCACTGATCTCCCCCCAGGCTGTGTTTTTAATCTCAAATGGTATTTTTTTTTACAGGCAAATATTAGCTTTAAATAGTGAGGTGTTATTTTCTCAGCCTTAGGTAACTCAATCCCGTTTCAGAGCAGCAACAGGACTCTGCCTGGAAAAAAAGCAGGAACTCACAGGGAAGAAGAGCTGGATTTATCCCCCTCCTGGAGCAGTGTCCTGAGGCTTTTCAGGCTGAGGACAGATCTCAAACAGGAAATTCTGCTCAAAGTGAGAGGTTCCACACCAAGGCAGAGCTGCAGGAAACCCCATTTCCAGGTTTTTTTTAGCAAAGCTTCCTCAAAGAGCAGCTTTCGGTTCAAAAACGAGGTTTTAAAGCTTCCAGAGAACCAAAAGCCTGAATTATTTTAGAAACACGGGCTCCAGAGCACTGCCCAGCTCCTGCAGCTGCCCCAGGGCCTGGAAAAGGTGGGAATTCCATCCCAGCTGGGAATCTGCCCTGGGAAGAATCTCCCCTCTGGCACAGGAATTCTCTCCCAAGCCCCAGCTTAACTCAGGGCTCAGAGGGATTCCACAGCACAAATTTAATCCTTCCAGCCTCTGGCAGCCTGAGGAGTGTCCTGGGGAGAGGTGTGTCCAAATCCCAGCTCTGGAAAGAGGGAAAACACAATTCCAGAGGGCAGCCCTGCAAGGAGGGACTTTTCCAACAACACCGAGGCCCACGTGGCTGCCTGGAACTGGAATAAAAGCTCTGCAGGGCTGGAAGCCAAGAAACCTGAGTGACCTGGACGTGGAATTTTCACTGATATGCCAGGATAAGTTTTTTTTTCTCCTCATGGAAAACTGCAGGAGTTTTCCAACAGCTGAGCCACGAAAATCAGGAGAGCTGCAGGAAGGCTGAGGTGCAATTTCTGCCCTCACAACACTGGGGTGTTACTCATTCCAGCAAAATAAACTGATTGTATCAGGCACATTCTAATAATTCCCAAGTATTGCCTGGAAAAACACTGCCTGGAAGCTCGGGGTGAGCACACACCTCTTAAAAAAACCTCCCTGAAACAGTCAGACACCATTGCACAACCGCAGCCATGAGTAAGCAGGGCAGGAATTCCACCTGCTCAACTGGGAAGCTCCACTCAGAGGTCAGGAGGGCAGGGCTGGATGGGATTTTGGGAGGAATTCTTCCCTCTGAGGGTGGAGAAGGGTTGGGATGGACTTCCCAGAGAAGCTGTGGCTGCCCCAGGAGTGTCCAAGGCCAGGTTGGAGCAATCTGGGAGAGTGGAAGTGTCCCTGTCCATGGCATGGAGGAGCTTTAAGGTCCCTTCCAACCCAAAACATTGCAGGATTCCAGGATTCTCTCCTGCCACAGCCATTCCACAGAAATCTGTGGCAATGTGTCACCTACAGGCTCAAAAGTGGCACTTTCTGTCATAACAAGGGAATTTTATCCACATCCTGAGAAAACCAACAGCAAAGCCAAAAAACGCTGTGGGCCAGAGACAGGGATCAAACCAGGCTTCAACCACAGGGCTGAGCACAAGATATTACCAAAATAATCACTAAAAAGCAAACAAAATATCTCAACAAATCCAAAACCACACCAAAAAAAATTCAAAAAATTAGCTTCTCAAACCCACCTTTACCTGGTGCTAAATTGACTTCTGGCCAAGCTGGACAAACCCCAAGTATGAAGAGATCCCCACAACTTCTAGACACAAAAATTTCACATTTTTAGCCAGTTTTAAAGGCAACTCACTAGAACTTGGATTCCCTCTTTCTCGATTGGAGCTTGATCATAAGTGGCATCACAAACTCGCACCAAGGTTGTCACCCCGTACTTCTTCAGCTCCTTGAAGAGAAAGGAAAACACCTGAGCACTGATGAATGACAAATCTCTTTTTATCAGCTATAAAACTCAACATTTTCCACAGTTTCAGGGCACCGAGGTGACTGCCCAAGGAAGGAGCAAGGGATAAAATTCGTGAGGAAAAGTTACAAGCAACAGGACAAAAGAGAAACATCTCTGAGGAGGAAAAAAAAAAAAATTGCAATTATAGAAGTAAAGTTAAAATAGCTGCTTATATCCTCCATGCAGCTTCTTCTCCTCTTTAAATAGAAGCCTGGGACTGTTTGCTTCAGCCAGTGTTGACATTTAGAGGCAGGGAGGAGCAGAACACACACCCCATCGTGCTCCAGCTTCCTGGTAATGCACTATAAGTAGCACTTGGTGCCAGATAAAGAATCAGTGGATCAAACAAAAGCTGCTCCAGTTCACTCTGAGCTCTGCCCTGACGCTCAGAATCGCCATAAATGTGCCAAGTATCCTCCAACAGAACACCTGGAACAGGGAAAAACAGCGGGAAAAGCGTTGATGGATGCTGCTCCCATCACTGACCTCCCACAGAGAAACTCAATTTAAGACAAACACTGAAAAAAACACCAAATAAATCAAAGTCCTGATAGCCCTAATCACAAATATGGTGAATTTTCTCTGGATTTGGGGTAATTCCTGCTCACAGAGCCACCAAGAACAAGGAATTCTGTGTTCCCTTCCCCAGAGAGGTGTCCTGGAATAACAGAAAACAGCACAAAGCCAAGCACACACTTGGAAATGTCATGGGCACAGCCCCACCTGCTTGGATTAATCCCAAATATATAAAAAAAATAGAAACCAGCATTTCATCTGCTGTTTGGGGCTGCACCTAACAGTCAGCAGGAATATCTATTGCAGAGAGAGTCCTGAGAAAGGGAGAAAATTCTCAATAACTGGGGAGGGGGGAAATAAAAACAAAAGGATGTGGCTGTGAGGGAAAATGGAGCAGTGAGATCTAAGCAGCTCCATGCAAGGGGACACTCAGACACCAGTGTGAGGTGACAGGATCCCTCTGGAACGACCAAAACCTGCACACAGCAGATAAAAACCCTCTTGAGAGAAGCCAGAAGGGCACAAAGATGTGAAATCCACTGTGCTGCTGCTGCTGCTCCTCTGCTGAGCCCATCTGCCACTCGCCCAGAAAATTGAATTTTGCTGCATTTAAGATGTTGCTGTGTCAGACAGAAGGTGGCCCAGCAGACGCCACTTTTCATGGATCAGTTCTGGCACCTGAAATCCCTGACAGCTCTGGGATGGACACAGGAGTGAGATAACTCATCCTGTAAACGTAAAACTTCACTTTGAGTCTTGTATTTCATTTTCTGAGGGAGGAGAAAGCTCAGTTCCAATTCTTAACTGCCTCTTGAAAAGCAGCAGCTGAGCAATGGTTGATTTATTAAAAACAGTGCGTTACTTAATGAAGAAAGAACATTTAGAGTCACAAAATATCCCAAAGAACACCAGAACCACGGAATGGTTTGGGTGGGAAGGGAACTCAAAGCCCACTCCTCTGGTTAAGGACACCAACCTGGCCTTGGACACTTCCAGGGATCCAGAGGCAGCCACAGCTTCTCTGGGAATTCCATCCCAGCCCCTCACAGGGAGGAATTGACTGTATTTTTAACCTAAATTTCCCATTTTTCTGTTTGAACCTATTATCTTGTCCAAGGATGCCTTGATGGCAAGGGGCAGGGTGTGTTTGTATCCCAAAAATTGAAGCTCGTCCATGCCAAGAAATGGAGGAATTCAGGAAAAAAAAACACCAGTGAATTCTCACACTGTGAGGAGAAGGTGAATAATAAAGACAAAACAAACCCTGAAATTTCAGGTAACAGGCAAAGAGGTGAGGAAGGACTGACTGGTCAACAAACTCCTGGACAGGAATTTTGAGGAATTAGGGAATTTTTTTGGACCCATTACTCTTGTCCCTTGATGGCAAGGGGTGGGGGGGTGTTTGTATCCCGAAATTGAAGTTCATCCAAGCCAAGAAATGCAGGAATTCAGAAAAAAAAACCCAGCAGGGATTCTCATACTGTGAAAAGAATGTGAAAAATAAAGACAAAAAAAAATTAAATTTCAGGTAACAGGCAAAGAGCACCAGAGGTGAGGAAGGACTGGTCAGCAAATTCCTGGACAGGAATTTTGAGGAATTTGGGAATTTTTTTTTAACTCCTTACCTCGATGAACTTGCTGAGGGTTGCATTGGTTGGGTTGTGAGTGATCAGGAAACGTAGATTCTCATAAGTAATTTCCACAGGGGCTGGACGGTTCATAATGGCCAAGAAAATGTGTGAGGGGGACAAAGATAAAAAAAAAAAGGAAAAAAGAAAAAAAAAAGAAAAAAAAAAAAGAAAAATCAAAATAAAAAGGGGGGGGAAAAAAATAAAAATCAATGACCTTGGAAACACTTCACAGCAGAAAACATCAAAAAGACCACTAATATGCCTGGGATTGATCAGAGCTTGCTTTGATGGGTTTGTTCCTCAGGGGTTTTGCTTCTCGAAAAAGCAGGTTTGCTTCAGAATCCTCAATTGCTGGCGGGGTGTTATCCTTCAGACTCCCGAAATTCCCACTGCACGTGAGGCTAGGCAGCCTGTTCTACATCGAGGCACTGGTGAGGAGTAAGGGCAGGGCTTTGTCTCCACTTGGTTTTCCTGGCGCTGAGTTCTGCCAGAGTCAGTGACAGGAATCTGCTTCCAAGGGGGCAGGAGATATCCCATAAATCTGAGCCGTGTTCCCGGAGTCTTGAAGGCCAAAAGGGAATTGTGGCACGCACACACGTGGGGAGCCCCCTGAGCTCACTTGGCAGCCAGGGTGCTGTGCTGGGCCTGGCAGAAGTCTGCCCTGACGCTCAGAATCGCCATAAATGTGCCAAGTATCCTCCAACAGAACACCTGGAACAGGGAAAAACAGCGGGAAAAGCGTTGATGGATGCTGCTCCCATCACTGACCTCCCACAGAGAAACTCAATTTAAGACAAACACTGAAAAAAACACCAAATAAATCAAAGTCCTGATAGCCCCAATCACAAATATGGTGAATTTTCTCTCTGGATTTGGGGTAATTCCTGCTCACGGAGCCACCAAGAACAAGGAATTCTGTGTTCCCTTCCCCAGAGAGGTGTCCTGGAATAACAGAAAACAGCACAAAGCCAAGCACACACTTGGAAATGTCATGGGCACAGCCCCACCTGCTTGGATTAATCCCAAATATATAAAAAATAGCACTGCTGCAGCTCTATTTTCTGAACAAAACCAGCAGCAGGAGAAGAAGTAAGAGTATAATAAATAAAATAATATAATATAATCAATTTTTCATGTATTTGAGCTCTTACAAGCAGATAAATTTCACCCAACTCGAAATATCCCCCAGAAATCTATCAAAGTGATGGCCAAATGGTCATTTAGCAGCAATAACTTTTAGTTATTCTCAATTATTCCAGTTATAACCATAATAATTTTGTGTTACTCACAGCCTTATCTCTATTTACAGGCCTGGGCTTTAAAGGAAGCCACAGCTTTCAGTTTGAAGAGCCAAAATTCAAAATACAAAATTTCAGCAATAAAGAATGGAGCGAAGCCATGAAATTTAGGAGCATGATAATGGGAGTTATCCCAAACTACCTCAACTCAGGACAGAAATATTTAAATTATCAACACATTTTTTCAGAGCTTTTAAAAATAACCAAGCCAAGAAATCGCTGCCGATGTTTCTTTTTTTTTGAGGAGGGGGGAAAAAAAAAAAGGTTGAAATCAGATGGGTAAAATCCCAGCCTGAAGGCAGAAGTCACAAACCTGCAGCTGGAGTGGAAAGGTCAATGTGGCACACTCAAGTGAGGATAATTATTAGGGAAAAAACACACTCCCATGGAGCTCCCATCCCAAACTCGTGGAGTGCCCGGTGTTTAATGAGACCCTCGCTTTCAAATAGGCAAATTAAGCACCACAAAATTACCTTTTTCACTGCCATCGAGTCAAAAATCACCCAAAGAACAGCAATTATTCCCTTAAAGTACAGCTTTCAGTGCCAAAAATGATATTAATTAGCTTGCCAGAGGCAAGGGAAAAGCTGTTTTCAATCACCTCCCCCGACCTTGACGCAGCTTCAGCTCTGAGTGACTGAAATACAAATTTCCATCATGAATCCTGGAATATTTTAACCACAGGATGGAAGAGTCCCCTCTAAACACTTCAGACTCAAGTCCTTACATTTATCAATTCACTCTCTCACAGATCATAGAAAATTAAGAGGTGAAAGCCCAATTAGAACTTAATTAAGGATAATAAAAATGTTTTTATAAATAATTTAATGGTAAAATGAGGAAAAAGGAAAAATCTCCATTCCTAGATTTTCTTTTCAGCACCAGATTTTGGTTGGAAGAGCCTCATCCAGAGCTATTTTTGCCCTGGCAGTTGTATCAAATCAGGGTCATTTTGGATACTCTTCAAATCAAAGAGGGAATTTCACCCCAATTATTTTAAAAGGCACTTGTACAAACAATTTACCAAGTGATTAAGAAGTGGAATATTTCATTTCCACGTGTCCTGAGAGTGGCAAAACCAGCTCCTCTGAAAAATAGGAATGACACCAGCTCCCCTTCCCAAAGGAATATTCCTGAAGCATTTAATTAGCTCCTAGCTCAGGAGTGATTAAAAATGTAAAGCACTGTATTTAAGCTTGAAAAAAGTTATTTCCAGCAGGATAAGGAGTTGATGTAGCACACAAGGTTAATTTTAAAAGTTTGGGTTACTGAGAGATATGAAGTTGAAAAAGTAAAATCAGGCTTTTAATTAAGAAAATTAAAATTTCTTGTCTACAAATTCTGATTTTTCCAAGTAAATATTTTAAAAATTCTCTCTCCCCGTGTTACCAAGTAAATTTGCTCTTCAAAACCCCAAGAGAACCGGTGAGAATAAATTGTAACCAGGTCTGTGGGCAGCAGGAAACAAGGAATCGTTTTTCAGCCAATTAAGCTTCAGATTTCCTAGTCAGAAAGTGAGATAAGGCATGGAAAGGAACCAAAAAATGACAAGGTTGGGCTGCAAAAGGGAGCAGAAGCATCCAGGGAGGAAAAGCAGAGACCCAGCAGGACAAACAGCTGGGAATAAACATTCCTGGAGCTGCAAGGGTGTGCCTGGGAGGCAGCTCCTGGTGGTGTTATCAGGGAATGGTGATCGATCCAGATGTTACCCAGTCAATCCAGATGTTATCTGTGCAGGTGGGAGGGATTTTGGGAAGTTTTAGCTGAACACACACACAGATGCCACCAGGATCGGGCTCTCCTCACTCACAGCCTGATCTGAAGCAAATTTGAAAGGTTAATTTCTTCTCAAATGGTCAAAAATAAGCTGCAAACCTATGGAAAGGGCAGTCATTAACCAGCACAAAGAAATGAAGGAAACAACTGCTCAGGAGGGATCAGGGAAATGAATTCCTGGCTTGACAGGGCCTGGAGATGGCTGGGAGTGAAATCCAGCACACCCACAATCTCCAGTTCCAGGGGCTGCTGTGGCACCAGCTCCTGAATTTGGAGATTCCAGCAGAGCCAGCAGCTCTGGAGTGAGCCCAGGGGTAAAGGAAAAACAAGGAATGACACCGTGAGGAGTTCCCAGTTCCACCAGCTCCTCCAAAACTGAGCTCCACGGAGAGAGAGAGGGAGTGAGAACAGCTCGGAACAGCTGCAGCTTCCAGGGATTGCAAAACACGGATCCCCCTGGAAAGGTCACCGGGATCCCCTTTCCAATGCCCCAGGGCACAGGATGCACAGCACTCCCTGCTAATTTGTTACTCAGAATGAAAAGGATCCTTGGGAAGGCCTCGAGCAATCCCAAATAATTTTCTTCCTCTAAGGGAGAATCCATGTTGAACTCATGAGCCGCTGGATTTTCCTCTTCCATAAAATCCCCGCATTTCCACACGTGAAGTCAGCACCACAAGTGGATCCCAGCAAATTTCCATGCTGCCATCAGGATTTTGGCTTTTCCTGCCACCCTGCCCACGCCAGGTTTTACTTCCCCTTCCTGAAAATTCCCCACTGAGTGACCCCTCTCTATCCCTACCCTGCCAAAATGTTTAGTCGTTTAGTCTGCAACATTTTCCAAGCGAAAGAAGTGAGAAACCTCCAAAACGAGCCCTCAAACTTGAACCACAAATCAGCCAGAACATAAAAAAGATCTTTTCTAAAATATCCTCTCCTAGATCACGGAGAAAAACCCTGGAACGAAACGGTTTTGGATGAACTCCTTGGAAACCCTCTCTGAAGGAAGCTTGCTCAGACTGACACGTGCCCGGAGAGGGGTGAGGTCCAAAAATGTCACTGTTCCACCCTGTCCACCCCCGCGGGCGGCTGCAGCTCCTTCCCAGTTCCCTCCCAGTCCCTCCCAGTTCGCTGACAGGCTCTGGGGGTGACTCACTCGCTTCCTCTCGCACCAAAGCCTCGGCAGGCAGATATGGATCTGCCCGAGGAGCAGCAACAAAAAACTCTCTCGGCGTGAAAGAAGTGGCAAGTGACACGTCAGGAAATGGTGACAATTGTCACCTGCTGGGGGGGGGGAGGCCAGGCCTGAGGCAAAGCTCACAAAATTGGGCTGGAATGGATGGGAAAATCACCCTGGAAACACCTGGAGGCAGCTGGACGCTGCCAGAATTCTGCCAGGAAGGTGCTTTATGCTCTTCCCTGTTAAAATGCTGTTCTGACACTGGGATTATTTTTAAAAAAACACCTTCCCCACCCATCACTTAAGTTTTTAGAGGACTTGTTTGAATGATATTTGCATTCCATGCCCAAAAAGTTGGAAGTTGCTAAAAGTGTTTTGAAGTTGAAGTTGCTAAAAGTGTTTGAAGTCAGAAGCAAAAGGCCCTGCTAAGAAAAAAAAAAAAAATTAAAAAAAAATTGAAAATTGAGCTACAATCCTGTTTAAGCCATGGAATTGTATTCAAGTGAAATCAAAAATTACTTTCAGAAGTTTGTGACATCAATAGGTCTTTCCTGAAAATCAGAACACTGAGTTGTCTAAGCTGGGCTTTGAAAGCAAGGCCCTGCCTGATCAACAGCTCAGCCTAAATATTCTCACACTTTCAGCCCAAATATCAAACCCAACACCCAAACCCCATTAACGAATCAAGCAGGACTTAAAAGCAACTTCAAAAATCACACAGAAAACACAGAAGCTGCAGCGTTGAGTCACTTGCACCTTGCTCATCTCCCTAATTTGAGTTTCCATCCACCTCGGCTGGGTAAACGCCTCAGTTTGGAGCCGAGGAGTTAAAGCCAGGCTGACAGCTGAGCCTGGGGCTGACTGATAAATGTCACTGCCCGGCCACAAAGTCCCAATTGTTCTCAGCCCCAGCCCATTCTCCGGGGCACAGCTCGGTTTTCAGCGTGAGAGCAAAGAGCTGAACTTTTTAGCAGGGCACAGAGAGAAACAAGGGGCAACAAAAAAGCTACAAGTAACAGTGACCCGAATGGAGCCAA